TCTTTGCATTCCATGTAAGGTTAGGGGCCAAGTGAACTTTTGGAGTCGTTTGAAACACTACAGAGGTTCTGCAAGAAAGGTCCCTTCCAGAAAAATGTTTCTCTTTTAGAGCCTTGCTTCGGTTGATGACTTCTCAGGGAGAACGCCGTTTCCATACTATTCCTCTTTTTGCCTTGCCTTTGCTTTCTAAGGCAAATGCTGTTGTCCAGGTGACGGAGTTTGCGGATCACAGGGTAGGACTTTGCTGGGAAGCCCAAGTAGAAAGCTTATTGACTTTATGGTCAGATATTTTAAGGAGAGCATCTCCTAACCTCAAGCCCTCTTCATTACCCTGACTCCGTTTCCCTGTCTATCCGCAGGTTCATTCTCAGGGTTTGGAGAGAGGATGCACATGAAAGCGCCCAGCTTAGGGTCTGCCAAATAGTGGTTGCATAAACGTTTCCTCCGTTCTCCTTTCTTGGAGGGAAGGGTATAGTTTAGGAGGGGTGGCAAAGAATGAAGTTCGTGACTTTTACAAAGTCAAGGGCACATTCAAAATCAGATTTGCACAGACATTAATTCTAGTATCTTTTTGAAGTAAGCGTTAGGAATGAGATAATTTATGTCATTCTTTAGAATCAACAGAGCTGCCACTTTTTTTCCTTCCCCCTTAGAGACCTTCAGTTTAGTGTTTGTATGACACCCCCCCAAAAAAAACAACCCCCCAAACTCTTTTGTTTTCATTGATTCTACAAATGATCTTGTTTCTAGAGGTCTCTATCCATGTGCATCTCATTTCAAGTTTTCATCGCTTTCATTCTCAGCCCCATCCTTTCCTTCTCCTTTTAGGATGCTCCTTGGTGCCTGCTGACTTCCCTTCCCAGGGGAACTGCTCTCCCATCCCCTCTGCCCCAGTGGATTCCAGCTCATAGTGACCCTCCCCTCTGGGAGCAGATGCCTCATCTTTGTCTCCTGTTGGCTCAGTTGACTTGTCAGTTAGCAGGCCTGCGCTTACCTGGCCGCACCTCCAGGGCTCCTGACTCCCCTGTTGTTGTTAAAGGGCCTTGAGTTTCTTTCTACTCACAGCGACCCATGTACAAAAAAGAACAAAACACTGCCCAAGACACAAAGCGCGTCTCTCTCTCTTACAGCATAGCTAGCAGTTTTTTTTTCCGTCTATCTGTGGGCTGCTAGAATGATTTCTTCCGTGGGCTATGTTACCTCATAAAATTTTACCTCATGCATGGAGGCCAATCTTTAAGGCGGCCAAAATCAACAATTGATCATCTCCCAACACTGTCTTAAAAAACAAACAAACGTGATGCTACTGGCTCATGTGTGTCAAGCTCTTGGGCACCATGTGTCAGTCCCTGGACTAAGCCCTGCACGTGGTGGGAAGGCCAGTTTTATGTGTCAACTAGACTCTGGTTCCCAGTGGTTTGACAAAACACCAGACAAGTTACTGTTTCATGATACGGACTGATACAATGCCCTGTGATTATTTTCCCGAGAAGAATCAATCCATCCATCAGTTGGAAGGGGAGTTTCCTTAGGGTGTGGTCTGCCTCCCAATTACAAATAGACATTTTGACAGAAGTTGCCAGGCTCCTGCATAACCTACGATTTTGGATTGCCAACCATCTATCTGTGTGCCTCCTCCCCTTTCCGCCGCTCCCCCATTCCCATAAGCCAGCAGGAGTCTCCAGCCTGTCTTCCAACCTACGAATGTTGGATTTGCCACCCCTGAAAATCATGTGAGCCAATTCCTTGAAATCAGCCTGTGTGTGTGTGTGTGTGTGTGTGTGTGTTTTGTTTCTCTAGAGAACCCTAAGACATGGTAGTTTGTATTATAAGCATTTCCTTTCTATAGGTGGGGATTTTTAGACACTTGTCTGTGGTCATACAACATTCCAGCCCTGGGCTCCTTATCCTGGTCCTTCTCCGAGACCTTTGGTAGTAGTGTACCACTGGGATTTTGAATGGGAAATCATAATTATGAGTACTGTGCTCCCTCAGTGTAAAGCTTGTTGGAGTGTGTGTGGAGGATGGAGAAACTTGGACGGAGGCTGGGGATGTAGAGAATGGCTGGAAGGTTGGGAAAGGGGAAGCCAGGGCAATGAATCAGCTCAGAGTAAGTAAGCTGGGCTAGAGAGAACGGATGAATTGCAGGAGATTGTATCTGAAAACCATTGGACTCCTGAGTGAGAAGACATCACTTGATGGAAAGGACAAAGTTCGGACAACGGAAAGGAGGAGGAATGTCATGTCGCAGGAAACACAGGGTGGAAGTAGGGTAAACAATGGCCCAGTAGAGGGAAGGGATTGCAGTGGATGGGTGAATTACAATATATATGAATTGTCGAAGGTGAAACTGTGTTCGTAATAGAACATTAAAAAAAAAAAGAGTTAGCGTGGTGTTAGATTCAGAAAACTGGTATCATAGAGGAGGCGAGAATAGCAGATGACCCTTTGGCCTTTCTGCAAGTACCTGCTTCTACCACATCCTCCTACTGCATTTAAAGCTCTTGCACCACCACCACCCCTTTAACATCTGGGTAGGGAGGTGTGGTGTCTTAAAATTGCTCCAGACACTTTCCATCATTTTAACATTAGTGACCTCAGGTTGCTTTTCCTACCTCTTCTGATGAGAAAGAAAGGCCTAGTTTTGCTAAGCGGACACAGCCAGACGTTGGCCAAGAAGCATGACTTGTGAGCCTTGGGGCCACTCCACTTCACATAAACATATGGTAAATTAACCTAACCCTGCGATGTGCAGGATTATGGTAAGGCACAGACTTTTTCGTCTGTTGGCTTATTTTAGGACAGTGCAGTCCTTTTGAGGAGATTGGAACTCATGTTTATCTAAGCAGGGAGCCTTGTTCTAACTCATCTCCTGCCAGAAGACAGTCCTCAGACTTTGACCTCTTTAAAACAGAGGTAAACTGCTGAAACAACCGCCACGGTGATTCACAAAGCTCACGCTGGAGTGTCATTTTCTACCAAGAGCACCTCCTCTGAGTCTGTTTGATCTCAGAGAGCATGAAAGCTTGAGTTATTTCAGTCTTAGAAATCTCAGCGCAGAGGTTAGCGGGTTTCATCTGTCAGTGGTTCTGGCCTCAAAAAGCGAAAGTAATTGTGCAGTAAAGTCCTCTGACTAAATTTTGAGTTCTTGTAGTGGAACCCCATGGCCTGAGTTCATCCCATAAATGTTAACATTCCCAAACTGCTTCCCACTAGGATGTCTCCTCCCCGGGAACAGTGGTAATTGACTTCTTTGCATTTGCTTCTAGAACTGTGTGGCCCGTGGATTTGAAATATAGTCACATTTGGTGAGTTTTTCAGAAAGACAAATCTACACCCTCCCCTCTTCCTGCCAGTTCTGTCTAAAGTCAGTTGTGGGTAATTGTGTTCAGGCAGTGAACAGTGGATATTAGTGGGCCTTGCTGCTTAACGTTTGAGTTTTGTACCTTTGGTTTGAAGTCTCCTTGATGAGGGGGATTTAGAAAATAGTGTGTAAGACTTACTCTCAATGAGAGAGTAATCATTTCTTAAACCATACCTGCAGTTTTATTGCAAACTGGGTTAGCACCCTCCCTCTAGCCCAGGTTGGTTACAGTTTCCATGCCTGCGATGTTCCACCTTTACCATTTTCTTCCAGTTGCAAACAGTCTCTTCTGAGCCCTCCTAATGAGTACAGCCAGCCTGTCATGGAGCCCTGGTGACGCTGTGGCTTGGGCACTGGGCTGCTCATTGCAGCACCGGCGGGGCAAACCCTCCAGTCATTACGCAG